GTCCTGATGGCTGCATGCTGCCTCCAGAACCAGAGGCAGTATGCCTAGGCACACCCATTGCTGGTGAACACGGGCAACAAAGTGGATGTCCTGCTTGAGGATTTCTGGTGGGCGGCTGGTTGGTCACTACGTGAAGAGATTGGTGGACTAGACGGACCTTTGGTCTGATCCAGCAGGACTTCTCCTACCTCTGCTGCAGTGGTGCTCATTTTGCAGTGTCTCCCCTCTGTGGCACCGACCATCCATGGCAGAGCAGGATGGAACTTTCAGCCTGAGGGTCACATTTCAGAGAGATTCTTGGGACTCACATTCCCAGTGGGTAGGACAGAAGGCAAAATGAAGCAAGTCCCAAAGCAAGAGGGAATGAGACCAAACTACCAAAACCAGCAATTTTGACAGTAAATAAGCCCTAGGAGAGACATGTCAAACTTTTAGGATAAGAAGGAAATGCGACAGGAAACCATCAAATGATCCACAGTTGAGAGGGGGTAGGAGGAAGCAGAACCCCTGGTGACATGGGAACTCAACCACCCATACGCCAGCAGTGACTCCTCCAGTTCTTGCCAACCACACAAGCACAGAGGCAGGACAGCAACATGAAGTGCAGCTTATTCATGAATGGGTTCTGGGGAAGGAAAATGCCCAGCTCAGGATCAAAACAAGCAGTGAAGATTTTTCTTAGGAGCTAGTTACTTGTGAACCATATCATTATTTATAGAAATCACTACTGCAAATCCATTCTAAAAGAAGTATTTCCAACTTCTTAATACAGTGATTGTAGGTAAATTCAACAACCAGTTTGAAAAGTCACTGAGCCATCTATAACATACCATAGAGCCTTTTCTCTTAATTTTGTGTGTGGAGAATAGTTCTTTCATTGCTTTAGCAGGTCACTTCATGTCCTAGAAAGCAAGAGCCAGAAAGTTATCATCGTCTTTCTCCCTAGGATTACTTACGCTGCCATAAGCATTTCTGGTTTGCAGCTCCAAGTTTCCCCGTAACAGCAAGCAATTTGAGAACTGTGTTCCAGCCTGCTCTGCTGCAACATCTCCGAGGCAATCGTGGGCACACCTGTCATATTGCAAGGCGGCAGTGTAAGAAACACCTTGGTTGCATGTGAAATTGGATGGCTTCCTATTCCATAGAGGCTTTTTCAGCATAGCACTTATCGCACCCTTTCCCAATCTGGTGCCCCCAGCGGTGTTGGATGACAAGTCTCAGTATTTCATGCCAATGGCCTTGCTGGCTGAGGCTGATGTGAGTTGACATCCAAAACACTGGGAAGGCTCTGTGTTGGGAAAGACTAAGTTACCACTGGAAATTCATCACCTGAATGCACTCTAAGTAACTGTGTGCAATACTTGTGGTTCCTTGGAGTTTTAACATGAAGCCTTTTGTCCCCGCTTTTCTTGACCTCCCCGCCCCCAACCCGGCCCCACACTGACCTGCCTTCTTGACAAAGTTAACAAATTTGCTAGAGTTGAAACATACCTTTTCATGATGATAACACTATATACACAATGACTCATTGCTGGAATAATAGTAACTGTTACCACTGAGACTCAATCCAGCCAGGGATAGGCAGCATGAAGCTCTCCGGATGTTTTAGGCTACAGTGCCCATTGGCCCCAGACAGGAAAACTGGGAGTTGTACGCATAAGAATAGAAGACAAGCCAACGTCGATCAAAGCAAGAGTCCATCTTGTCCAGAATTTCTTTTCACATCATGGCTAACAAGGTGCCCACAGAAAACCTACAAATAGAATAACCTATAAGTAATCTACAAGGTGCAACAGCACCTTCCTGCCCATTTTCCACTCCAAAACCCTGACCTAATTTTAGCTTGGCTTCTTTTCAAACTTTTTTGCAAGCACTCTTCAACTGTGCAACCTCAGTACTGGGACTAACCTGCATGTGCATATAAATAAATATTTCTGGGTCTGATTTGGAAGCATTGAATAGATGTAGCTGCCTAGCAGCAACACTACCTAGCAACAGTGATGCATGCATTGGTTACTTCCCGGTTGGATTTCTGTAACGCGCTCTACGTGGGGCTGCCCTTGAAGACAGTCCGGATACTTCAGATGGTGCAAAATAGAGCAGCCAGGTTGCTGATGGGGACTGGGCGTTATTCTCATATAACCGCAGTCCTCTGCCAGCTTCACTGGCTTCCCATCGAAGTCTGGGCTCAATTCAAGGTGTTGGTAATCACCTATAAAGCCCTTAACGGCTTGGGACCTGGATACCTAAAGGAACGCCTGCATCCATATTTGCCCTTCCGCCCCTTGAGATCAGCAGCAGAGGCTCTCCTCCAGGAGCCTTCCGTGAGAGATATCAGGAAGCAAAGTACCCGGAGGAGGCTTTCTCTGCGGTGGCGCCCAATCTATGGAATGCGCTCCCCAGAGAGGTCCGCCTGGCACCGTCGTTATTTGTTTTTCGGCGCCAGGCTAAGACCTTTTTATTTAAACAATATTTTAACACTGTTTAATGTTTATAGGTTTTATTGTGCAGCCAGGGTGTTTCCGGGTTTTAATTGTTATTGTTATTTATATCATATTTATTTATTTCTGTGAGCCGTCCCAAGGCTATATAGCAAGGGGACGGCATATAAAAACTTTAAATAAATAAATGTAGACAAGCAGATGTTTGGATGACACTCCATAGCTTAGATTTTGCTGCTGACACTTAGTAAAGCATAAGACAGCTCTGCTTAGAGTGATGGACCTAATATTTGTTCCCAGCAGTATCAGTTCAAACTGGCATTGGTAGGGTACTTTAAATTCTGTGTTTGGGTCCCTTGCCTGTGATTTATCTATCTCTACAGCTTACTTTGTATATATCTAAACTTAGACACAATTGTCACAATCCATATTCTTTTTGCGTTTCAGTTCTTCTGACCTCTTGTTCTTATCAGAATGAGACATCTCTCTGTTAGGGATGGAATTGTTCTAGGGAGAGTGTAGCACTAAAGAAAAATCGAATCCTGTGGTCCCTTGGCACTGACTGGGGTTATAGGATGGAGTCCCGGCTGTGACCTTGGAAAATACTCCAATGTCAGAGGAGTGACTTTGACCTCAGTGGGTTCTCCCTGCACCCTCACAGCTGACACTGGCTGGGCTCAGAAGATGGAAGAATGTCTTCAGGTGGAGGCACCACCATCCTCCAAGGACTCCTGGTGGTTCTGCAACTACTCCTCTTTACAAGGAAGGGGAAAATGTTTGTATGGCTGAAATTGTCCTATATGTTTGGAGGGTAAGTGGAGCTCAGAGGCAGTCCTCTCCTTTCCATTCCTCCTGGGATGGCCATTATCCTCTATGTTCAGAGAGTTACAGACAGTCGCATTGGATGGTCTCCAGGATTGCATTTGCTTTTCTTTGGGGTGGGAAGAATCACACTATGGGGCAATTCCGTAGACCACAATATTGTGCCATGAAATAAATTCTTGTGTAATTATGAGAAAGAAATGTACTCAGTAAAAGCTATTCTCACTCCAAAGAACTAGAGTTTCTGACATGTTCATTCAGTTTGATAAGAACTTCCCAAATGTGTACATATGTTACTAAATGGGTTATAAAGAACTTGAGATATTTTTTTTAAAGAAATGGAATGCAAGCAAAGCAAAACTATCAAATTTGTCCAGCCAGTTGGAAGGTCTTAAGATGCCAGCCCCGGGAAGTTTGACTTTGAATACCTATGCATTCACTCATGTTTCTGATGCTCAATTAGGGTTGCTATGCTTCTTATCTTTAAGACATATACATTAGGCAAGTGCCACATGCAGATCTGTTTTGGGAAAAGCTATACCAGTTGAGTTTTACAGGTGCATATGGGTGATAATTTTGTTTGGTTTGCTCTGATGAATTTTGCAAATGTCTTCATATACAGGATGGAAGGAGCGTGAGAGAATTTTAAAAAAAATTGAACAGATCTATCCATCCATAACTAAAGAGCTTCTGGAGAGCCAGTGTAGAGTGCTAGGTTGGATCATGGGAGATCCAGTTTCTAGTCTCCACTTGGTCATGAAGCTCACTGCGTGACTTTGGGCCAGTTGCTGACTCAGCCTAACCTACCTCACAAGGTTGTTGTAGGAACAAACTGGAGTAAAGGAAATTATGCAAGCCACTCTGAGTTCCTTACAAAGAGAAACATGGTGGGGTTTACATAGAGTGTAATAATAATAATCAGAGTTGGCGGGTTGTCATAGAAGCATAGAATAGTAGAGTTGGAAGGGGCCAAGAAGGCCATCGAGTCCAACCTGCTGCTGTTGCAGGACACCAAGTCACACCATCCCACTCAGACGGCTGCCCAGTTTCTTTCTGAATGCCCCCAGTGTGGGAGAGCCCACCACCTCTCTAGGCAGCTGGTTCCACTGTTGTACTGCTCTGACAGTGAGGAAGCTCTTTCTGATGTCCAACCTGAATCTGGGTGGTGCATATTTTCAGTTTTGCCAGCCACCCTGAGAAGGGTTTCCATAAAAGGCATCTCATGCATCTATTGAATAATTACCTAAATCAGTCGACCCTGGTGTCAAAACAGGGCACTCTGCTGTGTGTGCTCTCATTGCACCTGTGAAACGTTGGAGGGAATGTGTCCTGTTTTCAAATGGTCTTTAATAAATGCGCATTGATCGAATCTTTCCTTTCCAGCTCACGGAAAGATTTTGTTTTCCAACGATCGTTTTCCCAAGCCGGGAACTGGAGAAGCCCTCTGTGGGGAAACTCTTTCGTCCCAGCAATCCGCAGCCGGCAGAGTAGAGTAGGGTAGGGCAGGGTAGGGCGGGGCGCAGCAGGGCAGGGCAGCCGTGGGGAAAGCCCTCCCCTTTATGTTAATCTCCGTGGCTGGCGTGCGCCCTCCCACAGCCCGCCCTCTCTTAAGGGCACCAGCCGGAGCTGTCAGAATCCGCGAGACCCGTCCGCGGGCGCCAGGCTCATCCGCCGATTCGGACCCCGCTCTTCGCGGGTGTCTGGCCCTGGGCGAAGTTGGCGGTCGCCTGCAGCGTCGAGCCCCGCGACCTGCTTGGGCTTCCCAAGAAAGGTGCAATATCGCCGAATACAAAGAGGAATAAAGAGGCGTTTGGGAAGCTGTCTGGGAAGCTGTCGTGATCAGTGCAGCGTTTTCCCAAATCTGCAGAGAGAAAGAGAAGTTAGGTTGAAATTTGCGGTGACCGGTTATGATGCTTTTAGCGAGCTGCTGAAGCCTGATATGAAAAGTCAGCCGGCCGCGGTCAGGGCTTGCCTCACGCTCAGGGTCAGGGGCTGAGGCGCCGGGAAAGCGCTTCTGCCCGGCCGGTTCTGAGCATCACATGAAGGGCCACGCTCACTTCGCCCAAAGAGGAGCTTCCTGGGACACGCGGACCATGGACCAAGCGGCTACCTGCCATTGTCTTGGGAGCAGCAAACCCAAGGATGAAGATGAGGAAGGTAAGTGGGTTCGCCTGGTAGGGTTTGTGTGATTTTAAATCCCACTTAAGCATCACGAATTGCAATTTTTAAAATAGACTCACATGATTCGGAGACCTGTTATTACCCTAAGCATAAATACCAATTCTATCTCAGGGTAGCAAAATTTTTCTAAATCAGTCCATGGGCATCTGGTGTCAAAAGAATGACCCTATTCATTCTTTCATTGTTGTTGTTGTTAGTCACAAAGTCCTGTCCGACCCATCGCAACCCCATGGACAACATTCCTCCAGGACTTCCTGTCCTCCTATTCATATATGTCCTTTTATTCATGTATTATGTATTTATCTATTTAACGTTTTTGTATGCCGTCCCCTTGCTATGTAGCCTTGGGACGGCTCACAGGAATATATTCATTCCCGTCCTCCCTATTCATATGCATGTGTATTCAGAAGTAAACCCCACAGAGTTCAATGAGACTTACTCCCAGGAAATAGGTATAATTTATTTATTTAGCAACAAGATTGATAAACTCTTCTCTGTCTTGGAAGATTCTTAAAGCAGTAAGCAATTAAAATAAAAAGAGACAAAGTACAGCATGAAAACATTTTAAATCAGATAACAGCAATAAAACTATGGCTAGTCAACCAGGGAAGACTTGCTTAAATAAAAATATCTTCAGCTGACACCAAAAAGTCCCCACATCTGTGCCTGCCTGACATTAACAGGAAGGAAATTCTGCAAAGAGGGAGCCAATACCTTGAAGGCTCTGCCCTGCATGTACCCCTAAAAGATTGCGGCCTCAGTCTGTTTCCCTGATCACATTCAATTTAAAAAAAGCCTATGAAACTTTTTAGCCCAATACTGCCCATTGGCTAAAACAAAAAATCATTCCCATGGCAATTATCAATAGACACCTTGAGATTTTAATTAACCAGTCAATTAATTTTTCTCAGGCTTTTTTCTGAGAAAGAAATATTGTAAGGGCATTTAAATGTAATCCTTGGGCTGGTTTTTATTTGATTTTTTTTCTCCAACATGGTACATTAGTTGAATCCCTCCAACATCAGAAAAAAAAATTACCCTGAATACAGGAATGTATTGGGAGTTTGAAGAGGGTGAGTGTGTGTGTGTGTGAGAGTGAGAGAGAGAGAGAGCGGGGGGGAGGGGTAAACCAAAAGAACATTGTAAATATTAAGTGACTGAACTTTTGGGTACTGCATAGATCATATATGATCAATAACCTAAAAAGGACTATGATGTAGATCTATTTCTGGGTAAATTCCTCAGCAAAGCAGTCCCAAGGCCAAGAATTCTGTCTGCAGATCAGACCTGACATTCTGTCCCTTTTTGGAGCCAGGTAATAGTCATAGGCAGATTTTGCAGGGTAAAACTCAGTCCATATAAAGAGGTTGATAATGCTACTGTTAATGCAATTTAGATTAGTGTGATTATACACCTACATATTAAGGGCATGATCCATGGAAGTTAAACCCTTTTATGACCCATGTATTTTTACGGGAGAGATTGACTGCACAATCCTGCTCATGCAGGGTCTTTCAAAAGGGGGCGGGGGGCAAGAGGGTCATTTGGCCCAAGCCTCACATTCACAGAGGGCTTCAAATTTCAATGTGCTGAAGCAGGTCAAGAATTACTCCCATTCAGCTATGAGACAAGATCAATTGAATGGTCTCATGATACTTAACATTAACTTTGACATTGCCAGAAAACCATTTTTTCCACACTATTTGGTGAATCTGTACAGAAAATGTTTGTTAAATAAACAAGATAATCTATTATGAATTATTGTATCTATTTATGTTAAGAGCATTAATTTGCTAAATGCAAATATCTAAAATACAACCATATTTGTAGCTCTGCTCAGGCATTTCTTCATTTTTTTAATATACCAGGAGAGTGGAAGTGGTCTAGGCTTCTTTTGGTCTCTGAGAAGGCCTGTGCACATGTTGAGAAGAGACTCTATTGCTCTCATCACAATGAAAGATGAGGTTACTTAATGGCATGCCTTTATGTTTAAATCTTCCACTGAAATCACAGGAATTAGAAGTGACGTCAACTAGACTTGGCTCTAAGTACTTTAGATTTTTGATCTTATTTATTCAACAGAACACTCCTGGATGAACAACCCTGACAACCTCAGGAGACAGCTTATCTAATATAATGTACCTATCACATGAATTAATATTTCATTACATTTAGATCATGTTCTTCTTCCTCAAACGCAGACTCTAAGGCAGCTTATGTAGTTCCCCGCTGCTCCTTTTCATCTTCACCGCAGCAACCTTGTGAGGTAGGTTAGGCTAAGAGTGGCCGAGTGGCCCAAAGTACCCAAGTGAGCTTCATGGCCAAGCTGAGTTCTACCTGAATTCAGTTCAGGTAGAACCTGAATCCCCCAGGGCTCCGGTCCAGTCGTCTAACCGTCATGCCACTCTGGCTTCCGCCTTTCTACTGAAACAAATGCAGGTCAATGGACAAAGCAGCTTGAGTCCTTGGCATCTACAGGAAGGGCACAGAAAATGCCTGCCTGAGATCCTGGAAACCCACGGTCATCCAGTGTAGACCAGCCTTCCACAATGGCCACGCGGGCTGAGGATGACGCAAGTCGCAGTCCGATGTGTCCAGAGGCCACCAGGTTGGAGAAGACTGGTGCAAACTAGACTGAGCAAGGCAGACCAGCTCTTTAGCTCGGTTTCAAGCAGCTTTGGATTTGGCAGAATTGCACTGCCACCGCCCCCGACCATGTAACGAAGACAGCTTGGCCACGGCGACCCGCAGACTGGTGCCTGTGAAGTGGGATTGCCTGACGTGCTCTACACTGGCAGTTCTCGGGGCTGGTTTGGGAGCTGCGGCTAGTGCAGAATGCCTGGCGAGGTGACCGAGCGGGTGCCTCCAGCCACCCAGGCCTGCGCTGCGAGATCCCCGGCTGCCAGTCTGAAGCTGAGACAGCTCTAAGGGGTTGGCATGGGAGCCCTGAATGCCTCAGGGAGAGCTTACCCCCAGGAACGCCTCCCCACTTACCCTTGACGAGGCACACAGCCCCGAAGCTACGCGCACCTCTCCCCCCCTCTTGTGGCCCTCGCCCTGCCCTCAAATCCTTTACTTCCCACCCCCGAAAAACGAATAGGGAATGGTGACTTTGCTTCTTTATGTGGCTGCCTCATGGTGCCCCACACACGGTGGGGCATGCCAGGAATCCAGAGGATACAAATGGCCTCTGGACTGCCTGAACTTGCCCAGCCCTCCTCAACTGGGTGCCCCCCAGATCCCTATGTTAGCTAGGGATGATTATTTTTATTATTATTATTATTATTATTATTATTATTATTATTATTAGAACATTTCTATGCCGCCCCTTGCCGAAGCCTCGGGGCGGCTTACAACACAATAAAGTACAATACAATACAAAAATAACAATATAAAATTAAAATTAATAATATAAAATAAATAAAAAATATAAACGATATAAAAGAAGTTAAAGAAAAGAAAAGAAAAGAAAAGAAAAGAAAAGAAAAGAAAAGAAAAGTTGCCCTGGCCAGATAAATAAGTAAATATTGTTAACAATTAAAATGATGTTTAAATAAAAAGGTCTTCACCTGGCGCCGAAAAACAAATAACGACGACGCCAGGCGGACCTCTCTGGGGAGTGCATTCCATAGATTGGGCGCCACCGCAGAGAAAGCCCTCCTCCGAGTACTTACCCTCCTAATTTCTTTCACGGAGGGTTCCCGGAGAAGGGCCTCTCCCGCAGATCTCAAGGGGTGGCCAGGCATATATGGATGTAAGCGCTCCTTCAGGTAACCAGGACCCAAGCCGTTTAGGGCTTTATAGGTCATCACCAACATCTTGAATTGGGCCCGGACTTCAATGGGAAGCCAGTGAAGCTGTCGGAGGACTGGAGTCATGTGAACATAATGCCCCGTCCCCGTCAGCAACCTGGCAGCTGTATTTTGAACCAAATGGGAATGATGGGAATGGTAGTCTGATGCATCCAGAGGGCACCCAGTCATGAGCTATATTTGTACTAATCGTACGTGTGTGGGATGGAGGGTGTTTGGCTGGCTGGCTGGTTGGTTGTGTTTGTTTTTATTTTTTGTATAATAGTTCAGGATTTGTTTTGAATGGGAAGAGGTATATAGATATTGCTAACACATAAACAAATAAGCAATAAAATTGCTTTTAAAGCCCTGTAAAATCAAATGCTTATGATGAATATGAAAAGGAGTAGTATCACTTTGTAAGGTTTGGTAAAAAAAGTGTTTGTTTCAATGCTGTGAATCATAACACCCCCCACAATTAGTCACTACAAACCACTAGCTGCAAAAATAGTGGCCTCTGCCGTTCTGGGACCTCTCTAGAGAACATGGTTTGAGTGTTACATCTAGACGACTTAATTGCTGAGTGCAATTTCGAAGCTGGACTTATTTACATAATTTATGCTTCTTCTGGTAACTATTTTCAGCTGAAGATGGTGTTTTTCAAAAACTAAAAACTGAGCAGTGAGAAGGAAGGGAAAGCCTGGGACTGTTGGGATCTTCTGAAATGCAGATACAATTATCATTTTGAGACAATAGCGACACAGTTCCAACCCTTTTTAAAACAATGATTTGACACTAAACCCTGAAATTAGTCTGATTATGTGCAAACGATCCTAGGATCTGCTTCTTGTACTTCTGACTGTATTCAGAAGATGTTAAGCAGTGAAAATTCAAAGAAGAACCAGTTTAAATATTATGCAGATTCTCCTTGAGGGCCATCCCTCATTTAATATCTTATAGCTGTTCTCCAAAAGCTCTGAATGGGCTTTGCTCAGTTTCTCTGAATGTCTCACTTTGACTATATCAGTAGGTACACATGGCCAAAAAAGAGAAAATTCATGCCAACAAAAGCTGATACAAATTTGCATTATATTTGCATATGTTAATTGAAAAAAATACAATGCATGTTTGTCCACCTACAGTTAAAGGTTTGTAGGAAACTATCCAGTCCTCCATGACATCTCT